CTCCGCTGTTTTCCTGCTTGTCTGCATGTTAGCTATAATGGGTCGTCGTAATCATCATCAGTAATCATCTGTCGTATCGTAGAGATTATCACTAGAGCTGTTGATTACACAGATGGTCTGTTGTAATGGTCTGTTTCATATGTATGGGGCCCGGAGGGGCTTAAGGATTCAGTGGCTGAGTGCCAAACAGCACCCTATTATCTGAATCGTGCACTACTTTTAGACCAGATCCCGTTAGTGCACTGTATAGGGATAAGGGTGCCATTTGGGACGTGTCCAGTGTGTTAATGTTCGGCTCGATATGGTCCTAGTGTGCTGCTGATGGGACTGCTTTGCGTTATTGCTTTGTTCGGTGGTTGTCATTGTGCAGCTCAACACTGTAACCCAAAAGACAGGTTCTCCTAAATGACGTTAAAAGATTGTGTAAACCGTGATGTCTGTCCATTGTCTGACCTTGCTCTGTCCGTCTGAACATCTCTCTGTCCGTCTGAACATCTCTCTGTCCGTCTGAACATCTCTCTGTCCGTCTGAACATCTCTCTGTCCGTCTGAACATCTCTCTGTCCGTCTGAACATCTCTCTGTCTGTCTGCTCATTCTGTGAACCATAGAGATACTCTGACCATGCAATCTCTCTGTCTGTCCGCTCATTCTGTGAACCATAGAGATACTCTGACCATGCAATCTCTCTGTCTGTCCGCTCATTCTGTGAACCATAGAGATACTCTGACCATGCAATCTCTCTGTGTGTCCGCTCATTCTGTGAACCATAGAGATACTCTGACCATGCAATCTCTCTGTGTGTCCGCTCATTCTGTGAACCATAGAGATACTCTGACCATGCAATCTCTCTGTGTGTCCGCTCATTCTGTGAACCATAGAGATACTCTGACTCTGTGTGTCTCTCCCCTAGGCATCCAGCTAGTCAATCAGGAAGAGAAGCCGCAGCACAAGGTATCCATCTCTAAACGGGCGAGGTGCCAATGGCAGCTCCTCTACACCCTGGTCAACAACCCCTCACTGGTGGGCTCCAGGAAGCACTTCCAGCGCCAGAGCAGCGAGGGCTTCTTCAACGGAACGCTCAACTGGGATGCAAAGGGGGGCAGCAAGAAGGAGGCAGAGAAGGAAACAGAGGAAGGAAACAAGGAGGCAGAGAAGGAAACGGAGGCAGTGGCTTACTGACTGGATGTAACCCCCAGGCTTTGGGTCAATTCCATTCCAATTCAGGAAGCGAACTGAAAATTAAAGCTGCAGTGTGTAACTTTTTGGGTGACCTGACCAAATTCCCATAGAAATGTGAGTTATAGATCTGTCATTCTCATTGAAAGCAAGTCTAAGAAGCTGTAGATCTGTTCTATGTGCGCTATTTCTATGCTTCCCGTTACGTTTCGGTTTTGTACAGCAGCCTCAAACAAGATTTTTTGCTTATTAAAGTTATTTCACAGCGGTGTAGATGGTTTTGATTTATTAGGATCCCCATTAGCCGACGCCAATGGGGACAGCTAGTCTTACTGGAGTCTGACACATAATGAAAAAGACATTACAGACAAAATATTTTACAATTTACACACATTTAAAAACATGAACATGTAATGTGTGCATCAGTTACACACTGTACACACCACGAGTAGGTCACAGGGTGCAGTGATTCTCTACACTGCTTGTTTTGTCATAAACTGAAATTAGGATTACTAGTAGAATTTTAGCAACCAGGAAATGGCAGAGCTCATATTGCACCTTTTTAAAATACTCATTTTCTTTTATTGCTTTTCAATGAGGGAAAACTGGAATTGGAATTTCATTTTACTACCAGAATTGACTGAATTGGAACGGCTTCTGTCGGCGTATGGATGGCTCTTGGGCATTACATTTACATTTACATTTTAGTCATTTAGCAGACGCTCTTATCCAGAGCGACTTACAGGAGCAATTAGGGTTAAGTGCCTTGCTCAAGGGCACATCGACAGATTTTTCACCTAGTCGGCTCGGGGATTAGAACCAGCGCTCTTAACCACTAAGCTACCTGCCGCCCCATAGTATAACTATAGGATGACATGTCCATGCATAGATCTGACTGCATTCGTTCCCAAGTGCACTCAGGGCTGAAGATATTCTGACTTGAGTTTTGTGCGCTTGCCTCCGGGTTTCATGCGAGTTTCCCATTGAATCAATCAATGATTTAGGTTTTGGTTTGAAAAATCTAACGATTCGATCTTAAGTCTGAACCTCCTAGACCTTCTAGCGCAGTGCCTGAGGAAGGATACTGTCTGTCTCCTGATTGGCTAACCTGTCTAGGGTCCCAACTGGCACACTAGTTCCTCTATAGTGCACTACTTACTGGCCCTGGTCAGAAGTAGAGCTACATAGTGGGGCCAACCTAGATTTATGCACCGTCTGTTTTGTCTGTCTCTTTGTTTGTGTGGCTATACAGAATCGCCAGCAGGAAAGGTAGTGTGGCACTGAACTCCTGTCTGACCATTGCCTGCCTGGAAGACTAACTGATACACTCCATTTCACCACTGGAAACAGAACATATCAGCTTGGAATCCGGGCTAGTCTGACCATGTACACATGGTTAGAATGTGACTATTTATTAATGTACAGACTGCTCTGTTATGGAAGGTTATAAAGTAACTGCTAATTTTCAATGTTACACTGACTGGTGTAAATAATCTACTGTACGCTGGAAGCCAAACTGAATTTTTCCTAAACGGTACAATTCCGTTCTGATTCCAGGCTAATAAATAATATCTATATTGAAAAATTATGAAATGGGGCCTAAGACCCAGACAGATGAAACCTTTTGCTTGAACTCTTTGCTGTAGACCACCTGCTACCTCTTATAACATAGCTCTACTATAATTTTACTGATAATGTTTTGCATTGTTTTTTTTTTTCTCAATTTCTAGTTGTGAAAATGTTATTCCAATGTTATCTGTTCAGGATGCTCTACATATTCTCTTTGTGTGTTGCAGCATATTGCATTTAAAAAAGTGACAGTGACTCAAGTTGCTTTTGAATGACATTAATTAATGATTGTAGATGTGATTAACATGAAATTAAAACGAATGATGACGAAAGATTTCCGTGTCGATTTATGTGCGAAGTCAAGTAAAACAAAAATGATTTCGTTTCGTTAGGAAATACACATCTCTGTCATGTTGTTTTTCAGGAAACTTTCGATAGTAAATATATTTTAGCAAGTTATCAGCAATATATATATATACTGATGTTTTCAAAGATTTGTTTTCCCATATGGTGATGTTTAGGTGAACAATTAGGCACCTATCTTCCCAACATTTCAATGTAGGCTATTTAACGAATCAATCATGCCGAATTAATGTAATTTTATGTAATCGGGAAAGAAAACACTACTGATAGAAATTAATGAAGAATAGTAATAAGAATATTTTTTTGTGATTGTGTGAGCTTCATAGCCGACCACACGGATAAAAGGGAAACGTAGCACTCGTGCGTTATTCTGCTGCAGCCTGCAGGACAGCCCATTTCCCATGTTGCGGCAATGAGAAGTGAGTTTGGTCAAAAGCAGCGCTATATCATGTTGATGCACAAAAAGGGTAGGTATATTATTCTGTCCATAAATAAATTCAAAAGTCTATTTTGAATCACTTTCTTTTTCTTTAAAATGTAAGAGAAAATAGAGCAGTCCAGCATCGTACAATTTAGAACCGTCTGCTACGCTTATCCAACAAATGCATTTGTTCTCGCAATAGCTCTTTAATATCAATAAGAAATATAACAACCATAGATAATGTTTCTGTGCCTACCTAGAATGCAAAACAAGCTTTAGGTGGATACACCGTTAACAGGCGATCACTACAAATCATGGCCAACGCCCAATCTTAACCCTATATAAACATTGTTTTCTTGTTTAATTCACAGCAGTTTATAGTCATACAACTACCAAACCTTACCCCGTAGAGTTAAAATGAAGTTGAAAACAGCTCTCTGACTCAATGACTGGAAATCGGAGAATGCAAAAATGTTTTTGGATATTTTATTAATTTCACGTACATAAAATCATATCAAAAATCTTGAAAGGTTGGGGGATATTTGTACAACATAGTCCGAACAGTATAGCTCACCCAAAAACTCACTATGCGTAAAATGACAGGACACTCAAAGCCACGAGACGCTCCTTGACGCCCCAGTTAATGTTACTGTAGACGGATCATTTAGCTATAATTTAATAAAAAAGAGAACCGTTCAATTTTACTGGGTTTTTACATCACATATCGACATTAAGAATATCTAAAGTCCTATAGTCTACACTAATTAAAACCCCACATGAAGAATAAAATACATCGTCTGTGTGACGTGCCACGGAAGGACACGTTTAGAATCGTTGAAAAAAGACAGTAGGGTAGCAAGCACCAATTGTTTTTTTAAAAGTCACACATATCTCAAAGAGCCCCACATTACATCAAACAACAACCAGTTGACAGTGACCCGGGTTTTTTAGCCCAGACACAGCACATGCTTTGACAACATCAAGTGATTCTCCCTTTTTAATCATCTCACAGAACAATGAAAATAACGGTCGGTGACGCAGCGGAACGGACGCGTTGAGGCGCGCCTGTGCTGTCCAACTCCGCGACCTGCTGAAACTGACGCTCACGTAAAACTCACAACGTTTATCCGCTAGCCTACGCCCTGCACAAAGGGGACATCTCAATGACTTCGGCTTTTCACCAGTTATGGGGTCAGTACTGTTACTGTAAGAGAGGAATGTTGTACGTTTTATATATACAATACCAGTAGTTTTACTGCACAACTTTTCCTTTTGACAATCTCTTATTTGGGTTATAACTGACCACTTACTTTCTGAGGTAAAATGAGCTATCCACCTTTATCAGGGCTATCATATTTACGTGAAATAATGATAGGTGAGTTACTTGGTTTAAAATGTAGTTGACAGTAACTATTTTACCACCCCCCCACCCCCCCACCCCGCTCCGGTAGCATCACACAGCTCCGCTCAGCGACTCGGCTCTTTGTAATTACCGTTTCCGTCTTCAGAGATATTCACCGCCTCCGCCCCCAACGGTAATCTATCGCTGTACTCCGAGCCCACCTCGAATTTAGACGTAGAACCCGGAATGGACTCGGTAACCATGCTCCCCTCCACCTCCTCCCCCTCCTCCCCCTCTCCGTCCTCGCCGTCCTCTCCGTCTCCCATTTCACTCGGGTTGAAATTCTTTTCCAACTCGACAAAAGACGCCCGGGGGTCGAAATCACCTCCGACCATCTGTTTCTCCATTTGATCTGGGTTCTTCTGTGCCGCCTTCATGATCAGTTTGTAAGTCTTTCCCTGGTACTTGTATAAGAGATGACAGCAGGTGGCTCCCAGCAGAGGAACTGTAGCCAGCGCCAGCAGGAAGGTACTGACCACCACTATGATTAGCAGAGAAGGAATCTTCTTCCTGGTTGTGAAGACTACCTGGACCTGACAGTCCTGACCTCCATAGGTCAGACACAGGGTGTAGTTAGTGCCTGGTTGTAGGCCCTGGAACTTGTAGGCGTTGATTCCTTCCTCTATCCGGGACCACTGCACCACAGAGTGTCCGTTACCAGTATTGAAACACAGATAGAGCATGTCCAGAGGGGTTTTGGTTGAGGCTTGATAGAGGCTGAACGGCTCTTTGTTGACGGTCTCTAGGTTCTCATTGTGGCTGAGGTGGAGGTTGTTCTTACTGTTGGGGAGCTGGAGAGGATTCAGCTGCACTTTGGCCTCGGTCTCGGACACTTCCAACGCGATGACGCCGAAATCAAAGGTGTACTGCTTGAGCTGGTCCAGACTGAGGTTGAATGCGTGGTTGGAGATGTACTGAGTGCCATCGCTGATGCCACACTTCCTGGCAAACGGCAGCTCCTCTGAGCCCTCGCCAGCCTGCACTGAGCCATCGCCGTGTTTACCAGACGACCCAGTTGGAACGGTCTTGATCTTCCCAGAGTCAGACTTGGGCCAGTTGATGACGTTGTTGGTCATCTTAGGCCCCGGCTTGTTTCCACCAGATGGACGGAGGATCTTATCTGCTGTGGAGTCCAGCATGGAGTTAATGGCCTGTTTCTTGGTGCCCGCCACTGCTACCTTCACTGTGCTGTCTGCTTTACCGAGGTCGTTGACAGCCGAGCAGCTGTAGTTCCCATCCTCCTTCTTGCTCATATGGGGGATGATCATGGTGCCGTTCTGGAAGACCAGGAACCGTCCGTTGGTGGTTTTATCGTTGATGGGCGAGTCGCTTTTCTCGCTGACCTCAGAGGGCAAACTGAACGTGAACTTCTGGTTCCCTGTGTTCACTACCTCCCAGCTGACCTCTGGTTTGGGGTTTCCCTTGGTATCGCAGTTGAGGATCACCATAAAGCCTTCGTATAGCTCAGTGTTGTCCAGGTTGGGCTGGTAGGTGATGGACACCGTTGGGGCCCTGCAGTCCAGCTTGGGCATCTTGGTCACCAGGGCCCCTTTCAGATGTTCAGGGGCCTCGCAGACGATAGAGTCCTGCTCTGGGACGGAGATCTTAGACTCAGTGATCCAGTCTCTCAGCCACTCCAGACTGCAAGAGCAGGTGAATGGGTTGTTGTAGATCTGCAGGTGAGACATGGAGCTGAGAGAGCTGAAAGTCCCCTGGACTATAGTGGTGAACTTGTTGTTGTTGATCCTCAGGGACCTCAGGTCTTTGAGGGTGGAGAAGGCATCTTTAGGGAGGTTGATCATCTCGTTGTTGTTCATCTTGAGCAGCTGAAGGGCGGTGAGGTTGGCCAGGTCCTCCCAGGGGAAGTTGACGATCTTGTTGTAGCTGAGGTCCAGGTTGCGGAGCTGGATCAGCGGGGCCAGAGTGTCCCTCTCCATGGTCACAATCTCGTTGTGGGCCAGCCATAGGGAGGTCACCTGGAGAACAAGACTTTATTCATTCAACACATCTGTCATTTACTCCTCCGGTAATATAACATATGATATTTAGCAGACACTTTTCACATGGGTGGCCCCAGTGGGAATCGAACCCACGGTCCTTGGCATTACAAGCGCCATACTCTACCAACTGAGCCACACGGGACCACATTCACACACAAACACACCTGGGTGACGTTAATGAAGCTCTTGGCCTTCAGGAGTTTGATCTTGTTGGCGGAGAGAGAGAGGGTGGTGACGTTGAAGGGGAGACCTACGGGAACTAACAGCAGGTCTTTGTAGGCACAGTCAGCGAACTGGTGGGCATATTTATCCAGACAGCTACAGGGCTCTGGGCAACACTGGGCCAGACCCAACACGACAGTCCACACCGCCAGGAGACTGACCAGCCGCCATGACGCCATTTTCACCATCTGAGAAGAAGACAAAGGATGTTAATTCATGTATTTATTCATTAGCAAAATCGTCTTCAGTAAATGTCACTTCACCATAGACAATTATATGTTCTGCTCATCTATAACAGATCTAGAAAGGCAGCCATAATGTTGTACACAGAATTAATCTTTAGCATAATGCACTGCTACATCCTGTTGCATTACAGCACTAGAGCACAGCACTGCACTCTGGATAGGCTTATTATGTCTCTGGGAATTTGGGACACGGCGAGCAGGTTAGGACTAGTCTCAGAGAGGCTTCGGGATTCTGCAGCCTGCAGATATCATACAAATACATATATGGAACGGGTTTACAATACAAGGTTGATTAATGTGATCGATTAAACAGATTTCACTTTTACATTATAGGCTCAGGGCGACCAAATTCCCGAGTTCAGATAAACTCACATAGCTACAATTTCACAGCTTCAAAATGTACTAAGTGGAAATTGGTTCTCTTTACTTCACATAACAGTGGCTGCGAGGCTAGCATGAGAGCTTTGGCGCAAACCGCGGAGCAGAGCGTCTAGCGGTCCTCGGTGCGGAAACGCATGCAGAGCGTCTAGCGGTCCTCGGTGCGGAAACGCATGCAGAGCGTCTAGCGGTCCTCAGTGCGGAAACGCATCCACGACGGGGTTGCTCGATGCCGCATTAAAATACATTTTCGATGTCATTTCGACCTCTGAAGTTTAATCCAATTAAATTACAGTTCGTTCTGAACAAAGTATCCTAAAATACTGGTAAAATATAGAAAACAAAACTGTTATGTTTATGTTTTATTTCCTGATGAGACTTTATGAAACAGGAATTATAGACCTCAAATGGATGGATTGATGCTATAAGCTTAAATTTGATAATGATCTATCTGGTCCACACATTACAGCATAATTAAAATACTATTTGTGTCATGATGTGTCAGATACATAATAATCTCCAGTTTACTTTTTGATCCGTCATCTTACCTGTCCGATATTAATTCCCAATCCTTGCAGTTTTTCCTAACGGGGCACTCTGGATGATATCTTTTTTTATAACACAGATTAGTGGTCGAAACAACAAACGTCCTCTATAGTAAATCCTTTAATGGGACTTTTCTCCACGGTGATAACGGTGAAGGTAGGCGGTGGAAGAAACATTTTTTTCCCTGTAGGATGATGAGGTGCGTTCTGGAGGCTGTTTTCCTCTCGCGACTGACTGAGGACGACCGGTCCACTGCGCGCTCCCGCGGTCAGTAACAGAGCGATGGGAGGGTTTGTGAACGCGCAGGCAGCCTCTCCCATCCGTTCACCATCAGTCCTGGATTAAGAGACATAACGGCTCCGTGTTCGCCTGCCACCCCGGAAGAATATCAATAATTTAGACAGTAATGTTTCATTCATTGTTATGTCAAACTAAACTTATCTCTGACCCCATTCTCGTCAGTGTTGCTTTTTCCCTTAACAGGCACAGAGAGATGACCAGACCACAGAAGATGACGAGTTATTGGTCAGAATTATGAATTGTGCACAGTTGAGGTGGGGATTTAAATATGCCCGAAAAACTGTAACAAATAGTTTATACTGTCTTTGGCGTATTTGGATGAAAGCTAAATAGAAAAATCCATAACAGAATGAGAGAACAGGAAGATGTGAGGTCCCTCATTAGCAGGGGGAAATATAGGGCTATACATTGTGTTATTACAATGATACCAATGAGGCATTGGGCACATTTTTTCATTGGAAAATATTTATATATCACTGTAATAAAAAAAATATAAAAAAAGACTGAAAAAGTAAGTTGGATGGAGAAAAGCCGTAGCCGGCCGCGACCGGGAGACCCATGGCGCGGCGCACAATTGGCCCAGCGTCGTCCAGGGTAGGGGAGGGAATGGCCGGCAGGGATGTAGCTCAGTTGGTAGAGCATGGCGTTTGCAACGCCAGGGTTGTGGGTTCGATTCCCACGGGGGGGGCAGTATAATAAAATAATGCACGCACTCACTAACTGTAAGTCGCTCTGGATAAGATACAGTAGTACTACACTATACACTCCCTACAGTAGTACTACACTATACACTCCCTACAGTAATACTACACCATACACTCCCCACAGTTGTACTACTGTGGGGAGTGTATAGTGTAGTACTACTGTGGGGAGTGTATGGTGTAGTACTACTGTGGGGAGTGTATAGTGTAGTACTACTGTGGGGAGTGTATGGTGTAGTACTACTGTAGGGAGTGTATGGTGTAGTACTACTGTGGGGAGTGTATGGTGTAGTACTACTGTAGGGAGTGTATGGTGTAGTACTACTGTGGGGAGTGTATAGTGTAGTACTACTGTAGGGAGTGTATGGTGTAGTACTACTGTGGGGAGTGTATAGTGTAGTACTACTGTAGGGAGTGTATGGTGTAGTACTACTGTAGGGAGTGTATGGTGTAGTACTACTGTAGGGAGTGTATGGTGTAGTACTACTGTAGGGAGTGTATGGTGTAGTACTACTTTGGGGAGTGTATGGTGTAGTACTACTGTGGGGAGTGTATGGTGTAGTACTACTGTGGGATATGGTGTAGTACTACTGTGGGGAGTGTATAGTGGAGTACTACTGTGGGGAGTGTATGGTGTAGTACTATTGTGGGGAGTGTATAGTGTAGTACTACTGTAGGGAGTGTATAGTGTAGTACTACTGTGGGGAGTGTATGGTGTAGTACTACTGTGGGGAGTGTATAGTGTAGTACTACTGTAGGGAGTGTATAGTGTAGTACTACTGTGGGGAGTGTATGGTGTAGTACTACTGTGGGGAGTGTATAGTGTAGTACTACTGTAGGGAGTGTATAGTGTAGTACTACTGTGGGGAGTGTATGGTGTAGTACTACTGTAGGGAGTGTATAGTGTAGTACTACTGTAGGGAGTGTATAGTGTAGTACTACTGTGGGGAGTGTATGGTGTAGTACTACTGTAGGGAGTGTATGGTGTAGTACTACTGTGGGGAGTGTATGGTGTAGTACTACTGTAGAGAGTGTATGGTGTAGTACTACTGTAGGGAGTGTATAGTGTAGTACTACTGTAGGGAGTGTATAGTGTAGTACTACTGTGGGGAGTGTATGGTGTAGTACTACTGTAGGGAGTGTATGGTGTAGTACTACTGTGGGGAGTGTATGGTGTAGTACTACTGTGGGGAGTGAATGGTGTAGTACTACTGTGGGGAGTGTATAGTGTAGTACTACTGTGGGGAGTGTATGGTGTAGTACTACTCAAATCAAATCAAATCAAATCAAATTGTATTGGTCACATGCGCCGAATACAACAGGTGCAGACATTACAGTGAAATGCTTACTTACAGCCCTTAACCAACAGTGCATTTATTTTAAACAAAAAAGTAAGAATAAAACAACAACAAAAAAGTGTTGAGAAAAAAAGAGCAGAAGTAAAAAATAAAGTGACAGTAGGGAGGCTATATATACAATAGAATAAAGTGACAGTAGGGAGGCTATATATACAGGGGGGTACCGTTGCATAGTCAATGTGCGGGGGCACCGGCTAGTTGAGGTAATATGTACATGTGGGTAGAGTTAAAGTGACTATGCATAAATACTTAACAGTGTAGCAGCAGCGTAAAAAGGATGGGGTGGGGGGGCAGTGCAAATAGTCCGGGTAGCCATGATTAGCTGTTCAGGAGTCTTATGGCTTGGGGGTAGAAGCTGTTGAGAAGTCTTTTGGACCTAGACTTGGCACTCCGGTACCGCTTGCCGTGCGGTAGCAGAGAGAACAGTCTATGACTAGGGTGACTGGAGTCTTTGACAATTTTGAGGGCCTTCCTCTGACACCGCCTGGTATAGAGGTCCTGGATGGCAGGGAGCTTTGCCCCAGTGATGTACTGGGCCGTAAGCACTACCCTCTGTAGTGCCTTGCGGTCAGAGGCCAAGCAGTTGCCATACCAGGCGGTGATGCAACCAGTCAGGATGCTCTCGATGGTGCAGCTGTAGAATTTTTTGAGGATCTGAGGACCCATGCCAAATCTTTTTAGTCTCCTGAGGGGGAATAGGCTTTGTCGTGCCCTCTTCACGACTGTCTTGGTGTGTTTGGACCATGATAGTTCGTTGGTGATGTGGACACCAAGGAACTTGAAGCTCTCAACCTGTTCCACTACAGCCCCGTCGATGAGAATGGGGGCGTGCTCAGTCCTCTTTTTTTTCCTGTAGTCCACAATCATCTCCTTTGTCTTGGTCACGTTGAGGGAGAGGTTGTTGTCCTGGCACCACACGGCCAGATCTCTGACCTCCTCCCTATAGGCTGTCTCATCGTTGTCGGTGATCAGGCCTACCACTGTTGTGTCGTCGGCAAACTTAATGATGGTGTTGGAGTCGTGCCTGGCCATGCAGTCATGGGTGAACAGAGAGTACAGGAGGGGACTGAGCACGCACCCCTGAGGGGCCCCCGTGTTGAGGATCAGTGTGGCAGATGTGTTGTTACCTACCCTTACCACCTGGGGGCGGCCCGTCAGGAAGTCCAGGATCCAGTTGCAGAGGGAGGTGTTTAGTCCCAGGATCCTTAGCTTAGTGATGAGCTTTGAGGGCACTATGGTGTTGAATGCTGAGCTGTAGTCAATGAATAGCATTCTCACGTAGGTGTTCCTCTTGTCCAGGTGGGAAAGGGCAGTGTGGAGTGCGATAGAGATTGCATCATCTGTGGATCTGTTGGGGCGGTATGCAAATTGGAGTGGGTCTAGGGTTTCTGGGATTATGCTGTTGATGTGAGCCATGACCAGTCTTTCAAAGCACTTCATGGCTACAGACGTCAGTGCCACGGGTCGGTAGTCATTTAGGCAGGTTATCTTAGAGTTCTTGGGCACGGGGACTGTGGGGAGTGTATAGTGTAGTACTACTGTAGGGAGTGTATGGTGTATTACTACTGTAGGGAGTGTATGGTGTAGTACTACTGTGGGGAGTGTATGGTGTAGTACTACTGTAGGGAGTGTATAGTGTAGTACTACTGTGGGGAGTGTATGGTGTAGTACTACTGTGGGGAGTGAATGGTGTAGTACTACTGTAGGGAGTGTATAGTGTAGTACTACTGTGGGGAGTGTATGGTGTAGTACTACTGTAGGGGAGTGTATGGTGTAGTACTACTGTGGGGAGTGTATGGTGTAGTACTACTGTAGGGGAGTGTATAGTGTAGTACTACTGTGGGGAGTGTATGGTGTAGTACTACTGTGGGAGTGTATGGGTAGATACTGTGGGAGTGTATGTGTATACTACTGTGGGGAGTGTATAGTGTAGTTACTACTGTAGGGAGTGTATGGTGTAGTACTACTGTAGGGAGTGTATGGTGTAGTACTACTGTGGGGAGTGTATGGTTGTAGTACTACTGTGGGGAGTGTATGGTGTAGTACTACTGTGGGGAGGTTGTGTAGTAGTGTTTGTTACTGTGGGAGTGTATGGGTGTACTACTGTAGGGAGTTATGTGTAGTACTACTGTGGAGTGTATGGTGTAGTACTACTGTGGGAGTGTATGGTGTAGTACTACTGTGGGGGTGTGTAGTCTATGGGAGTGTATATGTAGTACTACTGTAGGGGAGTGTATGGTGTAGTACTACTGTGGGAGGAGTGTATGGTGTAGTACTACTGTGGGAGTGTTGTGTAGTACTACTGTGGGGAGTGTATGGTGTAGTACTACTGTAGGGAGTGTAATGGTGTAGTACTACTGTGGGGAGTGGTATGGTGTAGTACTACTGTGGGGAGTGTCTAGTGTAGTACTACTGTAGGGGAGTTATGGTGTAGTACTACTGAGGGGAGTGTATGGTGTAGTACTACTGTGGGGAGTGTATGGTGTAGTACTACTGTGGGGAGTGTATAGTGTAGTACTACTGTAGGGAGTGTATGGTGTAGTACTACTGTAGGGAGTGTATGGTGTAGTACTACTGTGGGGAGTGTATGGTGTAGTACTACTGTGGGGAGTGTATGGTGTAGTACTACTGTGGGGAGTGTATAGTGTAGTACTACTGTGGGGAGTGTATGGTGTAGTACTACTGTAGGGAGTGTATGGTGTAGTACTACTGTAGGGAGTTTATGGTGTAGTACTACTGTGGGGAGTGTATGGTGTAGTACTACTGTGGGGAGTGTATGGTGTAGTACTACTGTGGGGAGTGTATAGTGTAGTACTACTGTGGGGAGTGTATAGTGTAGTACTACTGTAGGGAGTGTATGGTGTAGTACTACTGTAGGGAGTGTATGGTGTAGTACTACTGTAGGGAGTGTATGGTGTAGTCCTACTTTGGGGAGTTTATGGTGTAGGACTACTGTGGGGCGTGTATGTGGTAGGTA